TGAAGTAAAGAGAGGATGGAGAAGTTTATACCATCGTGTAGAGGTGATGAACCAATCAACCAATCAACACAATATGAATACCGGGTGAAATCTAATGGCAAGAGACAATCAATTTTTCTCCTGAGGTTCACGTGCTTGCCGGCACGCTAGTCCTCGTTGTGTCAACCAACACTTGGTGGTTCGGTGGCTAAGAGGTGTTCCACGAACCTCGTCCACATAATTAGACACCGCAAGACCTACCCACAAGTGAGGTAGCTCAATGACACGAGCAATGTACTAGAGTTGCCTTTGGCACTCCATCGGGAAAGGCACAAGACCCTTTACAAGCAACCGATCGAGGTCGGAGACAATCACCAACTCTATTCAACGATCCTCCAATCATCGGGTCATCTAGGTGTCAATAAACACCAAGAGTAACAAGCTCATAATCAGCCCAAATCACCCAACTAGTGCCACAAGATGATGCAACTCAATGCAATACACTAGAGGCTCTCCAATCTCACTCAAGACGATGAAATCAAGTGAACAAGTGAGTGGAGTGTGTTGCTTAGCTTCCAAAGGGTGTGAACAAGTGTATGCGGTGCCAAGAGAGTGGCCAAGGCTGGCCACACCCTCTATTTGTAGCCACACAAACAAATAGAGCCGTTACCCCTTTAGAGTTGTTTCTGCGAGGGCACCGGACAGGGTGGTGCGGTCACCGGATAGGGGGTGACGGTGCCCCCAATGGTTGAATTCCAACGGTCAACCAACGACTAGTTGGTCACCGAACAGGGTGATGGTGGCACCGGACAGAGTATGGCGGTGCCACCCTGGCCGAGCCCCCGAAAACCCTACTCTCTGGATGATTAGGGCAGTGCACCGCCACCCCACGGCGGTGACCACGACGGTGCCCTTTCGGCCCTAATTCCAGCAAGTCCCAGCCTCGGTTAAAAAGCGATGGTGGCACCGAACAGCCACCGATGGTGCACCATCACGCACATGGCAGTGCACACCACCGTGTCCGGTGACCACCTTAAAGTTGCTGCTCTCGGCCATGTCCAGGCGGGCACCGGACAGGCCTAGGCGGTGCACCGCCTCACCCATGGCGGTGACCACCCTAAGGCAGAAACCTCCGTTAGCTACATTTTCGATTCTCGATTCGATCCACAAGCAGTCTAACACTACTTTGCAAGCGATGCTAACTCTCAAAGTGTTTTATCAAAATATGTTAGAGCCAAGTTAGCATTACTCAAAACATTTTCGATAAATATTTTCGCTTGCTTTCCGATGTGCACTAGGCCTAAATGCAATGCATGAAGTCCAACACCTAGTGGCACTAGATGACCGAATTGTCTAGTTAAGAACCTCTCTTAATAGTACGGCCATCTACTCTAAATATGATCACACTCTCTATAGTGTCTTGATCACCAAAACAAAACCCCTATTTATACCTTTGCCTTGATCTCCATAGGGTTTTGTTTTTCTCTTTCTTCTTTTCTAAGTTGAGAACTTGATCATCATCACATGTGACCATCTCATCATTTCATGTGATCAACATCACCAATTGAGTGCCACCATGCTCCTCATTTGGATTGCACCAACCTAGCTCATATCACAACTCATGACAAAGGTTAGTGCTAGGTTTCATCAATTATCCAAAACCAAACTAGGGCTTTTAGTGTCACAGAATGTATAGCTAGTAACACTTTTACTAGTCTACTGGAACTATCTTGTGTTGCAGCGATTCTCTGATGCGACACTTTTTTAGTTGTAGTAACACTTATGTATCGTGGTAGAGTACATAGTACATAACAAAAGGAATACATGGTTTGTAACATTTTTCTTATATACTATAACACGTTTAAATTATTATGAATCAAATATTCATTTTACCCATACATGTGGTCCACATATTATCGCATAATCACATTAACATAACACATTTTAGAATCACACAGACCACAACTTTCAATAATTATAGCAAGATCCACATACCATATGAAGGTTTCAAGCATAGTGCTTGTTAGATCAAGTGATAGTATATGTACATAATAATATGGCTCTGGAGACCGAAAACACATAGTATTGAATAGTATAAGTCCATACCAAAAAAGAAAATTCAATAACTCATATTATTAAATTCCATTGCTTCTACATCCATTCTTTGTACACATCGATGTTGGAAACTAGGCATGAGCCTCACTAATGACTCATCTTTTCGCAACAGAATGATTGATACGCATTTTGTAGAATTGATTTCCTGTCTTTAATTCCACCAACAATGGCTTTTGGATTGGATCAGTGCTCAAAATAGTTACATAGGCTACAATAGCCTTATTTGGGTATTTGGAAGTCATCAGTTGCATTGTGGACCCAACCTACATTAATCTGACATAATCTCTTAGTGACCAACAAGACTTAGTTGTGTATCGAGATAATGAAGTTAGAGCAAGCGGTATTACGTTTGTCTACCTTCATTAGAGAAGGCTATAGTCTCTCCAAGCACTCCTTGATGATCCTTGCACATATAAAATGAAATATGATATGTATAAAATATACATTGTTACCATTGTTGGTTCTTGGTTTTTATGGTGCTTTTTATTGTTTTTGAGTTATGCAATAACTCTATCTTGCATTCTAGAATGCTTCATGAGTTGTCTTATTTCCTCCAACATGTGAGTCTTTACATCATATGATGAGCCATCTATTATAACTATATTAATGCCCTTGAAACGATGTGTTGTTTGATCATAAACTTGTTTAGGAATTGAAGTAACCCATGCCATGTACATGTCCAGCTTTCTCTTCTCCCAAACACTTGATGTGTAATGCATCACCTTCCCACACAACTCTTCTCTCGGTATTTTGTGCTAACTATGGTTGTGTTCAGAAGATTTTCTAATTGAACCTACAAGTAAGAAATCCTTGCATTAGAAAAAAGAAACAATTTTGTATTTGCACATATATGATATGTATGTAGCATACCACTGGCTCATTTGTCCCAGAGATCGAATTCGCAAAGAAGGGTATTTTTATCTAAGGAGAAAGAATTTTTTTTAATAAGGAGAAGGGCAGAGTTGAGTAGCATTGCTAATTTTCTATCAGAAAAGGAGCCACTAAAATACACCCCCACGAGGCTATGGACCATGATCCTTCACCCCTCCAATCTCTCCTCTCATTGGTCCTTGCCCTCTCACACGGATCGCTGAGCCCCATCCAACGGCTCACATCAACTGAAACCAATACCACACAACGCTCCAGATCGCAGCACCGCCCTCCACACAACGAAAACACAAATGCACACAAGCACACGGCGCAGGAAAAAACTCGAAGAAATCGAACGCGAGAGTGGGTGACAAGGGAGGAGAGGAGAGAAATAGAGGTGGGGAAGAAGAGAGCACGAGAGCTTGATTGGAGATGGATGACGGAGCAAAGGTGTTGAAGAAGGCCTCGACGGGGCGTCGCAGCGGCGGCGGCCACAAGAAGCCGGTCTCTCGCTCCACAAAGGTCGGCCTGGTTCCAATACAAATTCATTCAAACGATAATTACTCATTAAAACTATTAACATACAATGAACTAAGAGTATATTATTATTCTTGAATACAAGAAACCAGCTAATAACCTTTTCCCCAAACGAAAGTAGATTGCCATTGTCACTAAATTTAGACTCACATATTCCTTTATTTCACTAAAGAGAAGAAATGGAGTAGTATGAGTTATTATAAAAAAACTTTATAGATAAAAAATATTAATTTCACAATCAAGTGATTTTATCAATCCATCCATTTGTTTAAGGAATCCTTTATTCTTGTTTGGTGCGGCGCATTGAACTCTATGAAAATTTCAAACAATATTAAAGCCAAGAGACTAAATTAGATAAAAACATGGAAAAATATCAAATATCTTTCCTTTAAAATGCACTGCTTGGTTTAGAGAATTGCCACGTTGCACAATTTTTCTAGAAAGATCAAAAATTTGAGTAACACATTTCCATAGAGAGTTCCAAATTAAAGGCCCCGTTTACGTGCCCTTAAATCCGGCTTGATCCGCTTTTTTTTTTTCATCCGAACATTGTTTTTCTCTCACAAATTCCTCCAGTATTCCTCTAAACCATCCAAATTCCTCTAGAATTCCTCCAAACGAATAGGCCCAAAATATACTCTGTTACCATTGATGGTTCTTGATTTTTATGGTGCTTTTGATTGTTTTTTATTATGGAATAACTCTGTCTAGCATTCTAGAATGCTCTTTGAGTTGTCTTATTTTTCTCCAACATGTGAGTCTCTGCATCATATGATGAGCCATCTATTATAACTATATTAATGCCCTTGAAATAATGTGTTGTTTGATCATAAACTTGTTTAGGGATTAAAAATAACTCCATGTCATGTACTTGTTCAGTTTTCTCTTCTCCAAACACTTGATGTTTAATGCATCACCTTCCCACACACCTTTCTCTCGCTATTTTGTGCTAACTATGGTTGTGTTCAGAAGATTTTCCAATTGAACCTACAAGTAAGAAATCCATAAATTAGAAAAAAAAACAACTTTGTATTTGCACATATATGATATGTACGTACCATAGCACTAGCTCATTTATCCCAGAGATCGCATTCACAAAGAAGGGTATTTTTTATCTGAGGAGAAAAAGTTTTTTTAATAAGGAGAAGGGAGGGTTGAGCAGTGCTACTAATTTTCTAGCAGGAAAGGAGCCACCAAAATACACCCCCCACGAGGCCATGGACCATGATCCCTCGCCCCCTCCAATCTCTCCTCTCATTGGTCCTTGCTCTCTCACACGGATCGCTGAGCCCCATCCAACGGCTCACACCAACCGAAACCAATGCCACGCAACGCTCCAGATCGCAGCACCGCCCTCCACACAACGAAAACACAAACGCACACAAGCACACGGCGCAAGGGGAAAAAAACCCGGAGAAATCGAACGCGAAAGAGGGTGACGAGAGAGGAGAGAGAGAAAGAGAGGCGGGGAAGGAGAGAGCACGGGGGCTTGATCGGAGATGGATGCCGGAGCAAAGGTGCCGAAGAAGGCCGCGGCGGGGCGCCGAGGCGGCGGCGGCCCCAAGAAGAAGCCGGTCTCTCGCTCGGTGAAGGCCGGCCTCCAGTTCCCCGTCGGCCGTATCGGCCGCTACCTCAAGCTGGGTCGCTACGCCCAACGTATCGGCACCGGCGCCCCCGTCTACCTCGCCGCCGTCCTCGAGTACCTCGCCGCCGAGGTCAGTCGGATCCCACCCATTCCCCACCCGTCGCGGAAGACGCGGAAGACCTGATTCGTCTCGCCTCGCCTCGCCTCGTCCCTCCTTCCTATTTTTAGGTCCTCGAGCTGGCGGGGAATGCAGCGCGGGACAACAAGAAGAACCGGATCATCCCGCGGCACGTACTGCTGGCGATCCGCAACGACGAGGAGCTCGGGAAGCTGCTGGCCGGCGTCACCATCGCGCACGGCGGGGTTCTGCCCAACATCAACCCTGTGCTGCTCCCCAAGAAGACCGCTGCCGCCGCCGCCAAGGAGGGCAAAGAGAAGAAGTCACCCAAGAAGGCCGCCGCCAAGTCGCCCAAGAAGGCGGCCGCCGCATAGGCCCCCGGCAATGCCGGTGCCCTGTCTCTCGCTCTCTTTCTCTGTCCGCTCTGAACTGAAACGCTCCTAGCTGTCGTTGTCGGTCAAGGTCGTTGTTGCTTGATGCACTTGTGGTTGTTCGTGTTTAATTGCGTGCCTTTCGCCCAATCAGCATGTACTGTGCAGGTTGACACTGGTCTAGGTTTCGATCTGGGAAACGCTGGTTTAGATTCAAGGAGTGTGATCTGTGAAGGGCAGGGGAGGGGGTGGGATCTGTGAATCATTAGGTGCTGTTTGTAATAAGATTGCGAAGATGTGTAAAATCCGTTCTGTGCTTCCATTTCGTGCTTGATTGTCTGGATGCGATATCTTTTCCATTAGTCGGTGACCTTTGTTATGTTTATATGGTTGCATCTGCTATGATTAACTGGTTATAGTAACTGCAAGGTGTTGGTTTGTTTCTGCTATCGTTGCTTCGCATCAGCTTGTGTTAAAGTTTAAACGAAAAACAAGCTATAATCTGTACCCTGAATTTGTCGATCATGGTGAGGGTTATTGACATCAATTCAAGTGATGCTTACATAACACTATGTTCTGTTAAAGTCAATTAAATAGGAGTGTATGGAATGTTCTATTAAACAAAAAAAGGTAAAAGGTTGGTCTTCCATCAATTAGCTAGCTATCAGGCAAAATGTCCCAATAGACACTACTGACTAGTGACTACCTTGGAACATTTAAAGTTCCTTTAAGCAAGCTTAAAGTTTGTTTAGGCAAACAATGGGGTGTATGTTTTGTTGACATTTCTGATAGTTGATCACTGCCTCACTGGTACTACAGTCCATTTGGGATTATTACAAAACATTATGTGGTGTTAATGTCAATTGAGTATGGGCTTGGCTGTATCGATACTACAGTTGGCCTGTTGTTCAATAAAACCTGTGTCCTTTGCTACTCCCCCGTTGAATGGAAATATTATATCCAGTGAAATTCTTGCAAAATCAAAACTTTGAAATATGGTGGCTGGATATCATTCTTCTATAGATCTTCCTGTTTTGAAATGTGATTGGTTTGATAGATTGTGGAAACACATTTAAGAATTGTTACTCAGAGTGTGTGCAATTTATTGCATAGGCACAACATAAGTGTGATTGAATTTATTTTATTTTTGTGTAATGTGTGATTTCTTCGTTTTCCAGCAATTTCCAACAAATAGAGTCCTGTAGAATATTGGCATGTTTTTTGTGCAGGATTACAGAATGTTAGGATTTTCATCTCAGTACTTCATTTCTCTATAGGTAGTGCATTGACTTGCAAATTTGGTACTTTGATACTTACATGCGTGGGCCTGTTGGTTTGTCGCCAAACCTTTTGGCACTTTAGGTGTGACATAGTTTCTTAGGCGTGTGTTTTGTTCCACGCTATTATTGTGGTTAGTTTGTTGGTTTGATCGGGGGCTTTATTAGTTAGAGTCATGTTCCTCGTAAACCAACCAACCAAACAGCGATGTGGCTGGCCAAACTTTATTAGAGTTATGTTCCCAGCGTGTGTTTGCTAAACTTTTGTGCCCCACATGTCATTGGTTCATTTTCTTCCCAGTTTGCAAGAAAGTGAGGTGACTGATTTGTTCACTACACTGGCGCCGCAATTTGTCTAATGTTGTTGCAAAGTTAGATTGTGTCAACAGACGAGTCCAGCAGCTTTGATGGTGTTCTATGTGATGTGTTGCCAATTAAATGGGGGCATTAATTGAAAATATCGTGATAGTTTTGCTTATTTGTATTGATAGTTTGATCCATTGCGAGTTTGATTTGTATGCTATCCTTAAAATATTTGCCTTTGGTAAAATATTTGTATGTTCTCAAAATATACAAGTTCTTTCATGTTCTTCTTTTTTCCTTTGTCAATGGGGTGATCCCTGCCCTGGTGTGATTAGCATGGGTAGTTGAATCTTTGGTGTGGTTGGGTGTTTGTGTTTAAGTGGTGACGAGGGTTATCATGATGTTCCTTTGTGCTTTCTCGGTGGCCGGTGTCTCCTGCTCTGTTCTGAAGTCTGTACTCAAAGCTCTGGGGTGGGGGTTGGTTCCCTGCCGTGATTTGCCGCCTAAGCTCACCATGCAACAAAAAAACTGCTCTTGGTTCAGGCAAAAGCTTCGGCAGCCACAGGTCTTTCCATCATGAAACCCTGCCACAGCTGTGGCATCTATTTTTGGCGCCGGGCGGGGCTGGCAGCCAAATGCACCCTTATGTTTTTTTTTATGAAAGACGGGTTTATTACCTGTTTCAAAACAAAATGGTGATCTTTAGAATTGCCATTTAATTGCTGGAGTTACATGGTTGATTGGTAAACCAGATGTTACGGTGCTTCGTTTTAGTTTTGCCCTAAGTCAACTTTCTTTTCTAGCTTTGACCAAGGTTATAGAAAAAATACATTAACATCTATCGTGGCAAATAAAAGAACTGACTGGGCATCTTTCATATGTTCTATGACAAATTAATGGAATTAATTTGAAGTTGTAGTTGTAGATGTTCGTGCATATGTTGGATCTTTATAGCAATAAACAAGCTGGATTTTTTAAACTTCATGCACAGCCTCACAACTAAAAACTAGAAAGTGTAACTGTGTGGCACCTGTTTTCCCAAAACTTGCAATTATAGGTTTCTAAGGTAACTCTATGTACTTCCTTTTGGAAAAAAAAATCAAATAAACAACAGAATTAACAAAAAAAAACAGAATTTATCAAAATGCCATTCTGGTAAATGATGATGTTCAAACCGTCTAACACCTTACTATCAGAATGACTAATACGCAGGAAAGGGAAATTTTTTATGACAGACCTTTTGATGCAATAGTGAAACAGCATTACTTTACTAGTACTTTTTAATGAACGAACGATGTTTTTTTTCTTCCAACAAATTAGCATCGTTATAAGCTAAATCTCAACGAAATGAATAGGGAAGGGTCTGGTCTGGTTAACTTGTGTTACGTTGAACTGCATTCTGACTTTTTTTACTTTGGGATACTTCTGGTAATGTATCATAATTGTATACCCTGTAGGCCTATAGGGCGTACCTAGTAGTTTGTGAATTGCAGCACTTTAACGATTATGTCAATCAATATATGCATATCTTTACCTTGGATATATATAGAACGTTTTTTTTTATTGGTGCCATTGCAATTATGCTGATCTGAAAAACACTATTACTATTTACTTATTTAGAGATGAGCTATTATAATTCTTCAGTTGTCTCAAAAAAAGTGCCATTATATACGCTTCGATCAGGTCCATTTGCAGGCCATTCTATTTATGTATTGTCCAGAATGCGCCTCTGTCCTCTACTCGCTCCCGTCACCGAGGCATGGGGCCCATAGGTCATCTCCCCCGCCATATTTAGCTGAACGTGTAGGCCCGACCAGCGGCTCATGCAGCGCCGCGGCGAGCAGCGTGGCCGGCGTCGCTCGTGAGCTACAGCGGTGGCGAGCACGTGCCGGGTTGCCGCATGACTGAGCGCGAGGCCGCCGGCGCTCGCGAGCTAGGGCAGTGGTGAGCACGCGACGGGTTGCGGCACGACCGAGCGCGAGGCTAGCGGCGCTCGCGAGCTACGGGAGTGGCGAGCACGCGGTGCGCTGCCCCAATGTGAAAGCGCGACGGGTTGCTGGTCAACGACCACAGCCTGCGCAACCAGCAGCACGGCAGTCGACATGACGTGGGAGGCCGCCTTCAGGACAAATCCTCATTGACATGGTTCTTTGCTTGCGGCCCGTTCGCCTTGTAGAATTTTAGCTCAAACTGGTAAAAAAATACTGTTCTGGCTGAATTGTTGTGAGAGAAAAATACTGTTCCGGCTAAAAAAAGAAGCCGAATAAGCCGAATATTGTTAAGGCCCTGTTAAGTTGGAACAGTTCTTATTCTTACCAGAATCAGTAGAATCCATGCCAAACGGGAAGGACTTGGAACATTTCTAGACGGAAACACTAGAATTGTTTCTCAAGCCGGAAGGGTGTTGTTCATCTATTTTGGCCATGTTCGCTTATCTTATAATCCGTCTTTTTCAGCTTGTTTTTTCAGACGGAACAGTATTTTTCTCTCACAACAAATCAGCCGGAACAGTGTTTTGGCTTTTTTTTTCAGCGAAGCGAATGAGGCCTTTGCTATGTATCTAGATATAAAAAAGTCAAAGCGCCTTATAATTTGGAACGGAGCTTGTGCTTTTTAGTTATTCTTTTTTTTGTAACAAGTAAAAAATAGGTTGTATTACAGTTGTTCTTCACCTAAAAAATTATATTTGTTAAAGAATATTTTCATTTACATGATTTTTTAGAAAAAAATGTTTTTTGTGAATCTGAATCGCATACTAGCCAAACGATCTCACGAAGTGATTTTAATTTATCGTCAGAAACGTTTCTTAAGAGAATCTAGATCCGAAACATTTGTACGAGAATATAGATCCCTACCAAACACACCCTAAGTTTAACTAAGTATATAGAAAGTAGGTACGACTTTAATAGGTGTATCATGCAAATATGTTTCGTAACGTTAATAGGTGTATTATGCAAATATGTTTCATGATAAATCTAATGATACCTACTTAGTACGATAAATATTAGTATCTTTTTATATAAATTTAATCAAATTTCTACCAATCCTTAAAATATTTTTAGAAACCACACTGGATCACTACCATAGTAAATTGTATCTTTTCTAAGACAACGGATGGAGTATTAACCGTACTAGACGGCGTGTGCAAGCACATATGGGATCTTTTTCTTGAGAAGATCAGTTGGCGCAGGGTAACAATTTCAGCATCTGCCGACTAACAGGCTTTTCGGCAGGCCGTAAACGATCGTGGATTATTTACTGTTGGCTGATTTGGTGTGAGAAAAAAAATACTGTTCTAGCTTATAATCTATGATCGTATACGAGCAAGCAAACATGATGTAAATTCAGTTACTTAGGTCTGAAGAGTACTCTGCAAAGTTGGCCTCTTGCAAGAGGCCAAATAATACTCTCCGTCTCGAAAAGAATGTAACTACGAGTTGCGTGCCAGCAAAAGTGATTCACGTTTAACCAAATTTCTAGTGAATACTATTTACATTTACAGTTCTAAAATAATTTATTATGAAAATACATTTCGTAATTAATCTAATGATATTTATTTTATACCATAAATATTGATATTTTTTCTATAATTGATCGAACTTAGGATACTAACACCATGTTCGTTTGGGCTTGTTTAGCTTATAAGTCGTACTTTTTCAGTCAACGAATAGTATTTTTCACTCACATCAAATCAGCCAACAGTACTTTCAGCCATGACTTATCAGCCAAACGAACCCAAGCAAACATGACGTAAACCAACCATGACACTGGGCTAGAATCATATTCTTTCCTGGACGGAGGGAGTACATTATTTTGCACTACAGTCTACAGACGACATATAAAACAAAAACAACGCATTCATGTTAGGTGGTGTTTAAATCTAGGTCTAAAATTTAGGGGTGTCATATAGGGATATTATATGAGAGTGTTCGGATAGTAATAATAAAATAAATTACACAAGTCCTCAGCAATCCACGAGATAAATTTATTAAACCTAATTAATCCATCATTAGTACATATTTACTGTAGCACTACGTTGTCAAATTATTGACTAATTAGACTTAAAAAATTCGTCTCGTAAAGTAGTCGCAATGGCCCTGTTCGCTTCTCTTATAATTCGTATTTTTCAGCTTGTTTTTTTTGAGCCGGAACATTGTTCTTCTCTCACAATAAATCAGCTTCGGCTTGTTTTTTCAGCAAAACGAACGGAGCCAATATGTGTAATTAGTTATTTTTTAAGTCTATATTTAACACTCTATGCATGTGTCTAAATATACGGATATGATAAGGACTAAACTTCGGGGAACTAAACAAGACCAGAAAAGTTGCTGGTCTTGGCTGGACGGCACCAACAGATTTTTAGCCGCGATCGAGCTCCATGTGCGCGCTGTTTAGGCCTGCATGTGATTGCTTAGCATAGCAATTCCTTGCTTGGTAGTTACCTAATCGGCTCAGTTCAATTAGAATCCTGGCGGTAAACGTTAGCACGCATGAAAATCGCATCACGTTATCGTGTCACGGCGTTGCTTTTCCCATCTGGTTATGTCTTGGGCCACTTTTCGCGTGCTGTAACTGTAACTGCGTCTAACGAAAAGCCGCTTGCGAGTGAGGCATTTTTAGCCCCCCTTTGGCAGGGCTTTTGCCGCGGCTTCTCGAGCGGCTTCGGGCGAAGCCCTGCCAAACGGTCACGGGCAAAACGGCTTGCGGCAAGAAGCCGGCAAAAGCCCCGCAAAACCCGGTGACTCAGTTCCTCCTCACGCGAGAAGCCAAAAATACTGGCTTATTCCGGCTCGAGCTCGTCACTTTCCATCCTCGTCTCGGCTTGCTCTCTCCTCCCGACGCCATCGCGGCTTAATAAATGGCCACAAAGGCTGCCTCGAGCTCCGCCACGCGCGGCTTCGATCTCCCTACACCGCTCCGCCGGCCTCGAGCTCAGCTCCAGCTCCGCCCCACTACTGGCCCCTCCTGGCCTGGAAGGTGTCGGACCGATCGGGGACCGTGGACGAGGAGGCGCCGAAGAAGAGGAGGTCCGGGACGATGGGGTCGAGGCCGGTCGCGAGGAGGCTGCGCAGGAGGCCTGAGAGCCGGGCCCACCGCCACGCCGCCGCCGAGGCGCCAAGCCGTGGAGGAGGAGCACGGGCACAAGGCATGGGCGCTGGGGCGCCAGAGGTGGACCACGGTCTTTGGTGCCGACCGGCGAAGGGGGAGGTGGACGGAGAAGAAGGCGAGGCCATGAGAGGAACTGCCTGGAGGAAGCGGTCACAGGGGCTGGAGCCGAGGAGCTACACCCGAGAGAGAGAGAGAGAGAGAGGGGAGGGAGGGAGTGGGTGACAGGATAAGGAGGAGATGAGTGTGGTCGTTCGGATAAGGAGAAGAAAAGAAGGGGAGAACGAAAGAAAAAGGAAAAAAATGAAGAGAAAAAAGAAAAAAAGAAAATAGAGAAAAAATATATAAGGGTATTTTGGACATTTGACATCTTCTTTACAACTAGGAGAAGCCGTTTTACCAAACGTTTTCGTATAAATAAGCCAGAGCCAGAAAAAGCTGCTTTTCCATATGAGCCAGAGGCAGAGCTGTTTTTTCACGAGCCAAAGCCGTACCAAACGGGCCCTAGTTTCTTACTGCAGTTAACTTCTTATCTCATCAAATTTTTGATATATACGTAGAGTATTAAATATAAACTAAAAAAATAATTAATTATACAGTTTGCGACTAATTTACGAGACGAATCTTTTAAGCCTAATTAGTCTATGATTTGACAATGTGGTGCTACAGTAACACGTGTGCTAATGACGGGTTAATTAGGCTTAATAAATTCATCTCGCGGATTACTGACGTATTTTGTAATTTATTTTTTTATTAGTATCAAACACCTCATGCGATATCTCCTATAACATCCGATGTAATAACCAAAATTTTATACCCTAAATTTAAACGAGCCTGAATGAAGTTTTCAAAGGGAGAGGAGACACATGGAGGCTGCGTGATGATGACACGAATGGGTAATGGCAACAAGGAACTTATATGGGCACTTAAATATAAAATAGGTAGTAAGAGATCTAAAATTAGCCTCAAACAGAGTATCTATACGAGAGACCTATTTTAGGTTGTCTAAGAGGCACAACCCAAATATGAACATCCTCTCTCCGAGAAACCTATTTACAGGAAAAAATTCTCTTTTGAATCTTGTTGTTTAAGAAGATATCAAATAGGTATCGAATATTTTTACTGTAGCGCTACCTAAAGAACAAAGTCTTGTATTTTATACGTTGTTGGAGATAGCGAACCTGAAAACTCGAAAGCACACCACACCATCGCGCAATCTGCTGCTCTTCGTTTGTCCCTTTCTTTCGTACGAAACATTGTCGCAACCTGCCTTCACAGTCACATAGGACGACTACTATGTTAACATGATCGTTATTTCTTCGAGAACAAAAGGATGGTTGTTGATCATACATCACCTCCTTTCTATGTCTCACAAAGAGTATTATTCTCACTTTTTTAGAAATTAAATATTCTCAACTTTGATTAAATATATACGAGAGAATGTTCATATTTTCTATCATTAGATTAATTGTTAAATATATTTTCATGATAAACTTATTTGAAAATACAAATATCGCAAATATTTTTTTATAAATCTTTTTTTTAACAATATTTTTTTTATAAATCTAATTAAACTTAAGAAGTTTAACCGACGTAAACCTTATGTGATACTTTCTTTTTGTACGGTGAGAGTAGTCAACCTTATACCTCTGGCAGAATAGTCACTACTTCCGACTAAATATATACAGCCTATTCGTTTGGCTGTGGCTTATCGTAAACGATCGTAAATTTTCAACCAGAACAGTATTTTTCTCTCACACAAACTAGCCAGTAGTACTTCTTCACGAACCAGCAACAAAACGAACCAGCCAACCGAACAGGCTGATAATTTATTAACAAGGGTATGTTGTACTACTAGTAGAGAAAAACATTAGGAATATATACTGCTATATTTTTTGCCAAAAAGTTATATACTACACAAATGCTTTTTATAATGAATCTAATAAGGCTAATCTTGAACCCTTTTTTTTTAAAAAAAGAGGGAAAATCTCTGCTCATAAGAAAGCAAATGTAACAGATAACTAATCTTAAGCTTTCAATCTATCGGCGTGTTCGTTGGTTGGTTTGGATTGACTGGTGTTGGTTTGTTGTGAGAAAAAAAATACTATTGGCTGGTTGAATAAGCCTGGCTGAAACCAATAAATGAACATGATGTATATAGCTTATATTGTGGTCAAATGTCAACAATTTTTTTTACTGTAAAATGTCAACAACATTAAATGGACTTACATTTGTGATTAGAACAAGTACTAATGTACTATTTTCATACAAGTCCTTTAAACTTTGATCTGTACCATGCACGCGGCACTCCAAACTTTGAACTGGAGTCGTGTCTCCTCATTTCTCAACTTCTCATAGCACGTAGGCCTTGTTTAGATTGTAAGTTTTTTTACTCTCTCTTTATCATATCAAATCTTTGAATATATGCATAGAGTATTAAATGTAGATAAAAAAATAACTAATTACACAGTTTGATTGTAAATTACGAGACGAATCTTTTGAGCCTAGTTAGACCATGATTGAACAATAATTGTCAAATACAAACGAAAGTGCTACAGTGCCAAATACTGATTCAATCTAAACAAGGCCGTACTACTGCTAACAGAAAACTGCAATTGTGGCTGGCATCTCCATTGTGTCAGGCTTAAGCTCACCGGTCGGTGGCTCGGCGCCTCGGGTTAAGCAGCACCTGCACCGCAAGTAACCCAACCCTGTCTTCCAATGCAAGTGACTGACCCGACCCCGACCCCGACCCCGACCCCGACCCATCATCATCATAACATAACACACGCTCGCTCATGCGCCCGGCGAATCAAAGGAAATCACCACCCGATTTGTTTACCCCCCCGAAAATTTGCCGTCTCCTCGTCTCGCTCCCTGCGCAGCCCCCAGATCCGGCACCGCCCGCACCTCGATCCCCGCACCCCACGCCCGCAGGTGAGCGCCACCGATCCGCCTGCGCGCGCCGCCGCCCGTCGCCGCCATTCCTTCCTCCCGTTTTGCTCACGACGCGTGCGTGCGTTCTCTCTGCAGGCCGGGACCGGTGGGGGCGCGCGCCGGGTAGTAGGAGGAGGAGGAGAGAAAGGGCGGCATGGCGGCGCCGCCGGCGAGGGCCCGGGCCGACTACGACTACCTTATCAAGCTGCTCCTCATTGGGGATAGCGGTGGGTGCTGCTAGATCTCTCTGTCTCAGTAAACGGGTGTGTAAGGGCGTACACCGCACTCGCGCGCGCGTTCGTGGGATCGGAGTTGGATTCGGGCATATGCGCGGTGTGGATCTTGCTCCTGTTGCCTGTGGTCGTGTTCGCTCGATTGATCTGTCTTACGTCTAAATGAGATGTTGTTGCTTGCTGGTTCTTCAATCCTTTGTGCTTTCTGCCTAACCTACCATACGTTAATCAGTAGGTTATTATGCATCTTTGGCGCATTAGTCTGAGATGCGAAATTGGGCACTAGTGAGAAGGATGGATTATGCCTTCCTGTGAGTTTTGAACATTTCACTCGTTAAATTGCTGTGTTTTTTTTCCTTCCTTGATGAGCATTCACTCGTGGGAACTCTTTGGTTAAAGGAAGATGCGCATTGGAAATAGTCCAGTTTGTGGAAATGTCCTTTCAAGGCTCCATGTTCTGCAGATTAAGTCTGTAGACTGGTTCAAATGTTGACATGTTGAACTGATACTTCCTGGTTAAGCGATTATTTGTTTTACCCGTTCTTACATTGAGCAAAGAGACTAGAATATTCACTTCAAACTGCACCCACTTTAGGGGCTTTAGACAATGTAGAATTATTTATCGTGATGTTGCTTGCTGTTCTGTATTCTATAATTATTTGCTCGTTACTGTGTACCATGTAACCATGAAATTGAGTAACTCGATGAAATTTATGAAACACACTGAGTTTTTGTGGGGCAGATGACTTGTAAAAGTGGCAGCTGCTGGATGTTAGATGGAGCAGTGAAATGTTGAATGGATTTTCCTGTGTTGGAAACTGCCTCTACGGAAATTTAACTGAGGCTTAGCCAAGAAATATGCCTCAACTAATTAATAGCATTGTCGTGTTCTCTCTATCTTATACTTTATTATCTACATTTCCATCCTTCCTGGATATCCTTACTGCTAAACTTCTGCTTTTGAGGATCAGGTCAAAAGAAATTCCGTCAATAGGCTAGCAAGCGCATACCAGCACGTAAATAGGAAACAAGCTGCTCTCCCGTATTACTTTCCTCGGCTAAGGTGCATTCCTTCCATTCGAAGCGCGAGACTGACTAAGTGTTTCTCGTCACACAATGGTGATGAGTTCCATTGTCATCCATGTCTGTATGCAATGGTTTTGAGCTTATCTAGTTTTTGATTGAAGTTTGTTGATTCCTGACATAACCTTGGCATTGTACCCATTCCTGAGTCTGTCCAGTAGCTGTATTGTGATAACATGTAAAGTGTAGGTGATGGTAGCTACAGTACAAGGTTATGTTTGTGACTGAATAGTTCATTCGTAAGCTAGTGGCATGTCCATCATTAAAGTTTTTGATTGCGTCAATGCGTGATTTCTTTTAATCCTTATCTATGTTCAGGTGTTGGCAAGAGTTGCCTCCTGTTGCGGTTCTCTGATGGTTCCTTCACTACAAGCTTTATTACCACAATTGGGTAGGTCCCTTTGGTGTTGTCAAGATTGTTAAACTGGTCATCATGCTTTCTTACATCAAATAGGAATTCAGCATTTGTTATTTACTCCACAATGATTTTGGACCTGTTACTGTGCAGTATTGACTTTAAGATACGAACAATAGAATTGGATGGCAAGCGTATAAAGCTACAGATTTGGGATACAGCCGGCCAAGAACGCTTCCGGACTATTACCACTGGTATGATGTTTTGTTTCATTTCTGATTGACACTTTCAAATTATACGATGACCCTTCTGATTCAATGGGCTTTATTTTACCTCAGCGTACTACCGAGGAGCTATGGGCATCTTGCTGGTTTATGATGTCACTGATGAATCTTCTTTCAACAGTAAACTCTTCTTAACCATATACTCTATTTCCTTAATGCTTCCATTTTAAACTATTTTACCATTTATTCGCAATTGGTTCATCTAAAATACAGACATCCGAAACTGGATTCGGAACATTGAACAGCATGCCTCTGATAATGTCAACAAAATTTTGGTTGGCAACAAGGCCGATATGGACGAAAGCAAGAGGGTACATGCCTGAACTCTTGTTCTCCTTGAATGTTTGACTGTTTTCACTCTGTATTTCTTGTTTGAAATAAGTAGTTAGATGCTTAATTCTTTTCCTTCAATTAGCTAAATAATAAATCTTACTGCTACTATTGCTTCAGGCTGTACCTACTGCAAAAGGACAAGCACTTGCTGATGAGTACGGGATCAAGTTTTTTGAAACAGTATGTCGCTTGCCAGACTTGCATGACACCTTCAGTGAACAGTTTTTTTAAAAAAAAAACAGAGTTTGCAGTTGTTTTACTCTCACAGATTTCTGTGTCTTTCAGAGTGCCAAGACAAACCTGAATGTGGAGCAAGTGTTTTTCTCCATCGCACGTGACATCAAGCAGAGGCTTGCGGAGACTGATTCAAAGCCAGAGGTACAAACAACTGTGCATAGTTATGCTTTACATTCCACCATTCATCGTGTTCAGTGTTCTGAGCGATATATCCTTGCACTGTAGGACAAGGCAATCAAAATCAACAAGCCAGACCAGGGTTCCGAGGCACCAGCTGCCCAGCGATCTGCCTGCTGCGGCTCATAAGCAGATGCACAATGGCCATAATGATTGGTTATTTGACATTATTTATTTCCCGCTTGGCTGTTATAGGAAGAATTTGAAGAAGCCACTTATGATGTACTGGTGGTTGTACTCGTGTTTGCTTCCATTCTTTGAAGCAACCACCTCTTGCTGTTGACGTAGCTATTGCTATTGCTGGGAGCTATTGCACTCTGGATTTGGATCCGTTGGAAAAACCTCTCCCCTCCCTACAGTGTGTAATGAATGAAATCCATGTCGTTGGGTTTGCATCTTATCGATCAATGCATGGAATAACTGTCGCTCTGGTGTGAATTGTTGTGTGCTTTTTTATGTTGCCGTTCTATCAGGTGTCTTTTATTCCTGGAATGTCTGTATGCACGGAAAGTCTGTATCTTCGATTTCTAAAAAAAGGAAACGTATCTGGAAATGAGACCGGTGCATGTTGTAATGTTTGAAAAAAAAATCTAATAAAACCTGTACAGTTGTATAAACTATAAGGCAGCTTGTCAAAGAGGAGGGCAGTCCAATATCTGTGATTTCCGTACGCCATGGTCGTCTGTGATGCCGAACACAGCGTTATTCCGGCACTTGGCGCAGTTCTCCGACGGCGCCAGGCTCAAGTCCAAACAGATTCCACTGGCACCACAGCCAGCGCCAACGTCGGCTTTCTCAACCGACGTCGCGTTCGCGTCCCAAGAGCGGAGTTCACATTCGGAGCCGGCTGCGGCAGTCCGGTGCCGACGCATGTGCCCGCCTAGCGCCTGGCCGACCGCGAACTCGAGGCCGCAGGTGGGGCAGCCGTGCAGCCACGGGGCGCACTCGCCGTCGTGCGGCTCATCCAGCCTCGCCCGGCGTAGCCCCGGTTCGTCGTTGGGGTAGGGGTAGGGCTTGGGGCGCCTGTGGCTGGCGCGGTGCCCGCCCAGCGCCTGGAACGTCGGGAACCTCCTGCCGCACGTCTTGCACTCGAACACGCGCCGAGGCCGAGCCCCCGCCGTCCTCGTCGCGCCGCCTTCTTGTTGCCGCCGCGAGAGCAGCATGAGGACGCTGGCCGCGTCCACGCCCACGCCGGTCTCCATCTTCTCGCCGCCCTGACGCCGGTGTGCTGCACGGCTGCACGCTCTACTACCTAGCTAGCTCGCTGCTCCGCGCTACTCGATGGTGCAATGCGAATGCGATCCTGTCCGATGAGGCATTGGCATGCGACGTTGGCGACTATATATAGCGCGACGTGCGGGTAGCTTTACTTCAGTATTAGCACTAGGAATTGATTTCGAGTGTAAAAAGTTTCTAGATGTCGGTATGCTTTTCTACGCTGCCGTTTAATTGGGCTCAGCAAGAAGCGCACACGTAGAGCGCAACGCAAAGCACCACCAAGCTGCCTAATTATTAATTAATGATGAATGCGAGCTGGCGTGCGAGCGTCGTCGGCCGCCGTTGGATCGCCCAGGTCCCGCATCCGCGCCTGGAGCGAGCGAGCCGCGGTCGTGCTAGCCCACCCGCGTCCGGTGGTTCGGCGGCGTTTCACACCTGGGTTGGTGGCTGAAACTGGACTGCCGGATCGGAGTGGCAGTGGCTTACTGGCACGTTAGCTGGACCCTGACCTGGATTCTTCATGTCTCGAAAGTCAGAACACAGATTCAGCATTCAGCAAGCGTGTCAGGAACAGGTACATGAACTGGTGGTTCAGGTTCAATGGCCTAGTCAGCGGTTCTCGAATCTCGATCGATCGCCTGAATTCCTAATCGGGTTGGTGCGGTTAAGCCCTCCGGTCTGGGTTGGTGGCTAAACATAACATTTGACCAATTTCAGGGAACGTTGCTTGACAGTTGATACTACACTACTCGTGTATAACACAAAAGTCCACCAACCACCGTGAAATTTGTTCGTTCCATCGGACCTCACTACCTGAGAGGTGGCGAGCAAAATAAAGTAGATATTACTTTGATTTGAACTATATAGTCGTGTATACACTCGTGCAGATTAGACACCACACGACAACGCATCAAAGACCCGGAAATGAACCACAGGCCAGGTTGATTCTGACCAGGTTCCAGTCACACCAACCCCATATGTACGTAGTACGGGCTAGCATCCTGTACGGCACATGTAGGAGTATCAACCAGAGCAGCCTGAACGAGCTGCACGTTTGGGAAATCGGCCGTGACGCAGCGAGATAGACAGAAGCGGAAAGCCAAGGGCATCCACACAAAAGCCGTCACTGGCTTTCCGTTCTGAACTGGGGTGAACTGAAGCTGCGCGGCACCGGCTCATCGCTGGATGCCACGATCAGGCGGCGGGCGGGCCGGCGCGCCGTGCGAACGAGATCCGTCAGGCGGCAACCACAAAGCCACGTAAGCTGCGGGTAAGCGCGGCCGGTCAACCAGCAGCTGCTCAACGCTTTTCCTCACCCGACGACTGCAGACATCTGAGCGATGACGCTCGCTCCTGTCACTCTGTCATTTTTTTTTGAGCAACAGTCAATCACTCACTCTGTCAGGTGGTCATGGTCGGAATCGTCAAAACAGGGCCCTAACCCATTTTTTCACGAGAGGCAGATTGGGCCGAACCTGCAAACCCAACGGTAGCCCTTCCAGGCAGTACTAGCCAACACGAGAGCCCGTTGGGCCTCCCTCCCATTTATGCTGTACACAATTCACTGCGTCATCCGATACTGAATACTGATACATCACTGCTGGTTCTTTACGCCACTGCATTGTAATACTGAACCCCCTCACTGTCAGACTTTTTATCGCAGTAAAAAGAAGTGCAATGCAAGGATGGTTGTTTCTATGGGAGCGTGTGTACTGGCAATAAGCGGGACCTACAAGCTTTAGAGTGACTAAAAATGGTTTGTCATTTGACCGGGCTTCTCGTACGAGGAGGTACCCTTCCACCGTAGAAACAACAATGTTACGCCACGGGCGTGGTTCGGACGGACCGACCCACCTGTGCTGCTCACATGTGCCATGTGCCTTCACCCGCATCGCGCGCCGCGCGCGCCCTGCCCCACTCCGCCTCGCTTGCTCCCTCTTGTCGCGCACGTAGCCTGCTCCCACCTGTCACACGCGCCGCCTGCTCGGCCGAGCCAAGGCCTTTGCTAGTGGTACTGATGATGGTGGTGCTCCCACCCGTCACATGCGCGCCGCTAGTGCTCATGCGCCACCGGCTCACACCCGACGCCTGGAATCGACCGGTGCCGGCCTTCCCTGTGTTGCAAAATGGATGTTTCAACTATTTCAGATGTTTCAAATGTATGTTTTAGATGTTTCAGATGGATGTTGCAATGGTAGTTTTTGGATGTTGCACATATTGCAATGCTTATATACATATGTTGCATAGAGTTTGTTCAAAAAATGTTTCATCTATTTTTAGACGCATGTTGCAAGTGTTTTATCTGGATCTTACATATGTTGCAAATGTATGTCCTAATGTTTCATCTGTTTTAGGCGTATGTTACAATTGTTTAATCTGAGTGTTGTAAAAGTAGATCTAGATGTAGGATTGTTGAGCGAGGAAGAGAGAGCTAACGCAGGAGCCATGGCGGCGTCGATGTGGGGAGGAGGCGTAGAGCACGCGACGCCGGTGTGGAAGAGGCGGGGTGTCATCCTAGCGGCATGGAAGAGGTAGACGCGAAGCGGTGTGGAAGAGGTGGGCGAGACGTCGGTGTGAAAGAGACGGAGCAAGTCATCCAGACGACATAGACAGCGGAGTAGAATGGAGCGGTCCGAAGGCGGACGAGGGAAGCGTCCGAGCGCTAGTCTTCCCCGAAACACTTCCACGTTTTTCTTTTTTTTTTAAGCAACACTTCCACGTGAAATTGAGCCATGAAATCGAGACATGCAATCGTCGAAATAAGGCCGACGGGCGAAGCTGCACGTCGGCCTAGCATGGAAGACGCCAGTAGAGAGAGTTTGGGCCGGACCTGCAAGCCCAACGTAGACTGGGCTACCGCCACGTGCCACCGTGGCACGGCAGACGGCACACAACCTACCGCTACCGGCTTCCCTTCCGTTTCTTCAACCTCAATCGTCCGCACGCCGTCTTCCCCATCTCGCGCAGCGCTACTGCCGGCTGTCCCGAGTCCCGAGTCCCGACCACCGTCCCCCGCTCCCCGCCGCGAATCCTTCCTGCTCCCGCGATGGTAGGTGGTCCCATCTCCCGCGCTGCTGCTGGTCCTCTTGATCTGCCCCGATCCATCGCTCCGAGATCCAGCCTTTTGTGGCCGGCCACGTCGTTCTCTTCTCGTCCGTGTCCCCAGGTCCGGCTGTCCTTTTTTTCTCTTTGCTGCAAGCGCTATGGGATCTGCGAATGGTGGTGGCCTCGATTTGTTTAAAGGGCTGAACATTTGTTTGATGCAGGAGACCTGCCCGTCGGTGAAGAACATCCTCTTGCTGGACTCCGAGGGGAAGCGCGTCGCCGTGAAGTACTACAGCGATGACTGGCCTACTCTCTCCGCGAAGCTGGCCTTCGAGAAGTCGGTCTTTGCCAAAACCCAGAAAGCGAATGCTGGAACGGAAGGTAATTTACATCTTCTTTTTTTTTAGCCTGGACTCCCAGTGTACAAGTTGCAGTATCTGTACACAACACACTCACACCAGCAAGCCAGTTGCTAGAAGCTACAACCTATACACCTCAAACGTCCTTCTGGATATCACCGAAGCCACACGAGCCTCGTAGACGACGGGCACGTCGTAGTCCCATTATAGCGCCACGTGATTGTCCAGGACCTGTACAAAACAAATATGGGGAAATACCCCATGCGACACCAGCGTTGCGATCGCCGGGGATCGAACGCTGGCGGGCAGACTCGCCACTGCGAGTACTACCACTGAGCCACTGGCTCGTTCACTAAAGGTAATATACATCTGATTTCGCTTATACGGAAGGAGTTGTTTTCCGCTGATGGTGAGCCTTGGTGAGTGTTGTTGTGCTCGCTTGAGGTAGTCCAGAGTACTTGATTAGCATTATCATCTCATAATGAACTCATGAGTGTGATGTATTGTTATAATCCATTCTATATATGCTGATGCTGGGCAAGAATGCTTCCATGGAATATGACTTTTTGTATAGGGGTAGAACCATTTCATCGATGTTAAATTACAGTATTACACCATTCTTGTTTTGATTCTTTTGCTGTGCAGCATGTTAATTTATGGTCCCTATGCCATTTTATTCATTGTTCATTGACATGACTTATATTCAAATTTACAAATCATCTACTCCTTTACTCCTCCATTCTAGATATATAGCTTTTGCTATGTACTTAGATATACACTATGTTTAAATACATAGTAAAAGCAATGTATCTAGAATAGCCGAATCGTCTTACAATTTGGAATGGAGGGAGTATATATTTTCCATGTCCTCCCTTGTATCCTCTTTTAACCTCAGTCACGGTACTGTTTGTACTAGCTCCCACTCACCACAAATCTATAAATGAGCCTGGGCTAATTTTACATCTGACTGACTTAATTTCTCCTTAAACATGCAGATGTGACTGTTTGAGTTTTTTTTTTTTTTCTTCAATTATTTCATATTTTTATTTGTTTCTCTTTAACAGCTGAGATTGTAATGTTTGATGGTCAAATTGTGGTATACAAGTTCATCCAAGACCTGCGCTTCTTTGTTACTGGAGGAGAAGAGGAGAATGAGCTTATTTTAGCATCAGTTCTTCAGGGATTCTCTGATGCTGTCGAGCGACTTCTCAAGTTATTTTCCCTCTATTAAAGTTTTTCTTTTCAACCGCTGTTTGTTCTGTTACATGTTATTGTGTTAATGCTGATTGTATATGAATGTGTTTCCAATCTTGGTGGTTTCAGAAACATGGTTGACAAAAGGACAGCACTCGAGAATTTGGACCTGATCCTATTGTGTCTTGATGAAATTGTTGATGGAGGGTAAAGCCTTGTCTTACTACATACATGATATTAAGGCTTCTTTTCTTGTTCCCTTTATTGTGTACATTTATTATCCTTCCTTTGCTCTGAAATCACCTGACTGTCATCTGCCGCATGTTTGATTTTTGTAGTGGGGCCATGGCAATAGAGTTCTATTAGGGCCTCTATTTTGTAATGGTTGTATTCACTGGATTCAAAGGTTTAGTCTTGTGTTCTGCTTCTGTACCCCAAGCCCAAGCATGCCTAACCTTTTAATGGGGTTACAGAATTTGATATGTGAAACAATGGCTCAGTCTGCTAAAGACATTAACAAAACAAAATCCTATTCCATTGAATTTTTTGAAATGGAACAACACTGATTATCCACATGAGGAATTGTATATATTTGATTTTGAGTTTGAGATCTTGAATGACTGCAGCTACCACAACCTTGCACTCGCCTCAATGTGACTTTTAGATAACCCCATTGATGTCTGAACTCTGAAATGCGAAAGTGATAGCATCATTCTTTGTCAACCTTAGAGATGAATAACATCGCACATTGTAAGCAGCATGTAATTATTTGCTGCACTACACCTAATTTTCTTGAATGATTACACAGGATTGTACTTGAAACAGAAGGAAGAGAGATAGCTGAAAAGGTGTCTGGTCATGGATTGGAGGGTGCTTCATCAGCTGAGCAGGTAGGCTGCAGGCTGCATCTACTTCAATTTTGAACTGAAGAAACTGGTGTCTTTAAACTTACTAGCTTTCGTTATTTGCGTGCAGACTCTAGTCAATGCCCTAACGCAAGCAAGAGAGCATTTGGCGAAGTCTCTTCTCATGTGATGCTGTGCTTTATATTTTGGGGTGACGATGGAGTATCTATTATTGTGTCTGGATGACACATTTTTTTTGTTAGCAATGGAGAAAGAAAAATATCTGAAATCAATGAATGTGTGGAATGGCATGGTGTTTCCAAAATTCTCATGTTCATTCTGTAAGCCTTCAAAGTTGTGTAGCATGATTGTTCTAATTTTGAATTGTTCAGTTATTGGTCGTTTTGTTTAACCTCTCCCTGTTGGAAACGGTAAAATAGCATGCTTATGGAGATAATTTGTCATGGCCAACCTTAACGAATTAGGGCTACACTTTCTTGAAGATGGTAATAATGTCTCGCTTAAACCAAAACATTATTGGGATCTGCCAAAACTTAACTTACAATTTTGTATCCATGTTCTATATTAATGGGTGCAAAAAAGCACAAGGGAACCAGGAAGCTGACGGTGACTGTTTACTCGCCGGCGGTGACGTGCAGAGACAGGTCGTCTCTCTGCTTGACTGCATTGTCATCTGCGACGTTACTGAACTGCTGCTTGTAGCCATGGTCATGGTTGCCTGAAAACAGCTTGTCTTCGCTTGGAGTCCCTTCCATGTCGATGATGATGTTGGTTATCAAGCAGCAGACGAAGATGATCCTTGGCAGCCGGTGCTTGTCAGGCCTCCACAGCTCTCCCTGGATGACACGCCACCTCCCCTTGAGTGTCGCCAATGCAGTCTGCACCACTGCCGTTGCCGCTGTGTGCCGCTTGTTGAATTCCACATTGGCTGCCGGGAGACCATGTCCCCGGTACGGGGTCATGAGCCAGGGAAGCAGAGGGTAGCTCGCATCTCCGACTATGTACTCCCTAACCGTGGAACCTCCAGGAAGGTCCATCTGCCCCTCAAGCCTCAGGCCTTTCTCACACAACCTGTACAGGCCTGAAGTGCGAAGGATGCATGAGTCGTCCATGCTCCCAGGCCAGCCACTGACGATGTCTCTGAACCGCATGTCTGCATCCACAACAGCCTGCAGCACCATACTGTTTTTGTTCTCATTGTCCAGCCAGACCTTGCTGTTGGGCTGAGCTGAGGAACACATGAGGATGTGTGTGGTGTCAATGGCACCGCAGCAGTTAGGGAGCCCATAAATCTTGTCAAATCTTGCCTTGATGGTTGCCATCTCCTCAGGGCTCGGCCATTTCAGGTGACAGATGGCACGCTCCTCCACGGACTCAATGAACCGCCATGTGATGTTCGAGATGGCTGAGTGATTCATGCCAAACCACATTCCTATGTTCTGCAGTGACTCACCAGTTGTCAGCCTCATCAGAGCCACCGCCACCTGATCCTCCACCCCTAGGATTGTCTTGTCACCAAACCTGAAGTTTCTGAAACCATATGTCTTAGTTGTCAGGTCCTTCTTAACAAGTGAGCAGACGTAGTCGAAGGTCTTTCTTGACATCTTGAGGACAGACTCCATGTTCTGGTGTTCTCTTGGAAAGGGGGAATGTCCTGTGAAAAGAGGAATGTCGTAGTATTGTTACTAGTGAAATATTACACTCTTACGCATGAGGAACATGAAGGCTCCTACGGAAGGCAAATAATTTAAATTTTGAGAAACAAGATTATTTAACAGGAAACGCTAGGCACAACATGTTTTACAACTAGAGTGAAACACTAATGACACTGACTGTTACGCGATCTTAAACAACAACAACAACAACAACAAAAGCCTTTAAATCCCAAATAAGTTGGAATAGGCTAGAGTTAAAACCCAGCAGAAACAATCAAGGTTCAGACACGTGAATAGCTGTTTTCCAAGCACTCCTATATAAGGCTAAGTCTTTGGATATATTCCATCCTTTCAAGTCTCCTTTTATTGCCTCTAACCAAGTCAACTTCGGTCTTCCTCTGCCTCTCTTCACGTTACTATCCTGGCTTAGGATTCCACTATGCACCGGTGCCTCTGGAGGTCTCCGTTGGACATGACCAAACCATCTCAACCAGTGTTGGACAAGCTTTTCTTCAATTGGTGCTACCTCTAATCTATCATGTATATCATCGTTCCGAACTTGATCCCTTTTTGTATGACCGCAAATCCAACGCAACATACGCATTTCCGCGACACTTATCTGTTGAACATGTCGTCTTTTCGTATGCCAACATTCTACACCATACAACATAGCAGGTTTAATCGCCGTCCTATAAAACTTACCTTTTAGCTTCTGTGGTCCCCTTTTGTCACATAGGACACCAGATGCTTGGCGCCACTTTATCCACCCTGCTTTGATTCTATGGCTAACATCTTCATCAATATCCTCGTCTCTCTGTAGCATTGATTCTAAATATCGAAAGGTATCCTTCCTAGGCACTACTTAACCTTCCAAACTAATATCTTCCTCCTCCCGAGTAGTAGTGTCGAAGTCACATCTCATATACTCAGTTTTAGTTCTACTGAGTCTAAAATCTTTGGACTCTAAAGTCTCCCGCCATAACTCCAGTTTCTGATTCACTCCTGTCCGGCTTTCATCAACTAGCACTACATCGTTCGTGAAAAGCATACACCAAGGGAAGTCCCCTTGTATGTCCCTTGTGACTTCATCCATCACTAAGGCAAACAGATAAGGGCTCAAAGCTGACCCTTGATGTAGTCCTATCCTAATCGGGAAGTCATCCGTGTCTCCATCACTTGTTCGAACACTAGTCACAACATTGTTGTACATGTCCTTAATGAGCCCGACGTACTTCGTTGGGACTTTATGTTTGTCCAAAGCCCATCACATAACATTCCTTGGTATTTATCATAAGCCTTCTCCAAGTCAATAAAAACCATGTGTAGGTCCTTCTTCTTCTCCCTATACCGCTTCATAACTTGTCTTATTAAGAAAATGGCTTCCATGGTTCACCTTCCAGGCATGAAACCAAATTGGTTCATAGAGACCCGCGTTATTGCTATCAAGCAATGCTCGATAACTCTTTCTCATAGCTTCATAGTATGGCTCATCAACTTAATTCCCCAATAATTAGTACAATTTTGAATATCCCTTTTATTCTTGTAGATCGGTACCAATATACTTCTCCTCCACTCGTCAGGCATATTGTTCGATCGAAAAATATGGTTGAATAGCTTGGTTAGCCATACTATAGCTATGTCCCCGAGGCATCTCCACACCTCGATTGGATACCATCCGGTCTCATCGCCTTACCTCCTTTCATCATTTTCAACGCCTCTTTGACCTCAGATTCTTGGATTCTCCGCACAAAGCGTCTATTGGTGTCATCAAAAGAGTCATCCAACTGAAAGGTTGTGTCCGTATTCTCACCATTGAACAATTTGTCAAAATACTCTTGCCATCGATGTCGGATCTCATCCTCCTTCACCAAGAGATGGTCTCTTTCATCCTTAATGCAAACATAACCATTTTAAGAACAGTATAATAGATATTTATGCAGCATTCTACTACAAAATCAACGTTCAAGGCAGATAAATTGTTCGATTATAACATGCAAATCAAGATAAGTGCATGAATTTTGAAGATTACAGTATCATTTTTACAATATTCCCCAAGGACGTGCAAGAGATATGCACATCTTGGAATACAAACTCAGGGATACAGTTTCACCTTTAACCCTTAAAATATTCATTCAAAAATATGATCCTATAGTTTCAGGTCCATATTTCTAGAAGTTGACGGGTCCATTTGATTTTAAAATCTGAATGACTTCTAATGCTTGGCATATCTTTTAAAATACACCTGAATGATGCAGGGTGTACCAGGCATTCCCAGCTCTTACTGGTTACTTGGTTAGTATCAGTTTAGCAGTCAGGATACCTGACATGTATAGAACTATGGCATCCAAAAAATTTCTACAAAAACGAAGGACATTTTTACAGAAAGATTTCTTGTGGTTGCCATAATTGACCTCTGAACTTGAGTAGTCACAATAAACACTGTAAGGAGATCCCACAATGAATAGAGCAAAAGGATCATGAAAACTATCGACCTGCATGGTCATTCTTCCTTTAAGCTCATCTGTCAAACATAAACACTGACAATTCACTAAGCACTGAAGTTTCAATATATGATGTAACTTATCAAGCATCAGCAAGTTCTGCAAGTACACTTCGAGCTCTAGTGCTTGTATGAAACACATTAATCGACTCCTAATTTAGATTCCAAAAGCATACCCAAGGTTTAGCAACAATTCAATAAATACTAATGAATAATTAGTAACAATTACACCACTATTTGTGTATAACTAGCCTTCAGTTCCCAAGGTTTCAGTCTATGTCTAATAAGGGGAACCTATTCACAACAAAATGTCTACAATATTTTCAGAAATAACACAGAAATTGTGATATAACTTTAAACAGCAAAATCACAGCTCGGATGTTCAGTCAGCAATCCATCAAAGAAACTTTTAAAAAAATCATAGGTTGTGGATGGCATTGTTCTTTCTTTTCCTTTTGTGTTCACTACTTTACTTTCCCTTTTAGCTTAAGATACCAAAAACTCCATTCTGTAAGGAAAATTTCAAGACACTTTTGTGTAGATCATCGATCACTGCATTGAGAATCAGCTTCCTCGTAGCTGATTCTGGATTGAATTGAATCAACAAAAGTGAGCAAAAACCGATGGTGCCTAGATTCATCGTCTGCTCAAAGTGCGATTTCTGCAGGTTTACAGATCTGGATTTCGGAACAAACATGGGTAAACAAGAAGAAATGGAAACCAAACGCTGAATTCCCAAAATAATCCTCTACTCAAAGGATGCTACAGAAGCCGCGAGCAATCGCGGGAGCTGCCACGGTCTGAAGCTCTCAATCCATAACACGCCATTCCAATGCATCAAACCCCTTTGCAACGGCATCTTCAAAGCCCATCTAGAGCAATCAACCGATTAAGCTACACATCGACTCCCACAAACTGCAATTCGAACTCCCTCCAGATCCACCCACGGACTGTGTCAATCTCTGGGGGCACACACACGCATTACCAAGAACTAGATATTTTTCTACGGTGCCACGGCGATCAAGCTTACAGCGACGAAAGGAGCAAGGAAGCGCACATGGTTAAACTCTACAGACCACAGCGATGCAGGCAAGGAAGGAGGGTAGGGAGAGGAGAGGCGACCTGCAACCCTTCGGTAGAAGACGCTCCACCAATCGCTACCGTCCGGCAGCGGCGGCAGCGGCAACCCTGGTGCCGGCGCCGGGGCGGGCTTCTCCGTCCGCTTCCTCTTCTTGGCACCTCGCACAGGAGCCATGGACGCGAGGAGATCAAGAAAGGCACAACGAGGACTCGAAGACTGGAGGTCTGAGATGCTGGAGGCTTTTACCTGTCTGCCGTTAAAAAAGTATGTACATTAAAAAAGTTGAGTATCTACGAGTGTCATCGTTAACTTCTTCGTTCTTCGAACGATTCTATCCGTATTCCATTCGTTTTTTACCGTTTGTGAGTCTTGACAAGTGAGGACCAATCAGTTAAATTGTCCATATTGTCCCTCGTTTTCTCTCTCTGGGTTCCTCCTTATCTTCTTCTCCATGACGACCACGACGCTCCTGTGCACCGCAACACAGCTTGAGCGTCGTCAGCACCGCGCCCGCTGGCCCGGCCCCGCGCCCCTGGCACCTCTAGGCCTCGGCCCCGTCTCGGTGCTGGTTGTGTTCCTCGCGTCGTGGCTCACGCCGCCGCCCTCCCACACGCTGAGCTCGCCCGCGCCGTCCACGGTGGCCTGGGCAAAGCTCGTGCACGTGACGTTGGTGGTGGCTGGAGCTCACCTCCTCGCGTCACCTCCACGCGCGCTGCGACGGATCCACGGCGAGGACCGGCTGCGGCAGCTCCACGCGCGCCGCCTCCTGGCTCTCGCCGCCGCCGTTGGGGACGAGGCCGCCTCCCTGCTCGCTGGGGCCCTCGCCGTCGCCGTCGGGGCTCGTGTCGGTGTGCGGCGCCGGTCACCGGCGAGTGGAACACGGCATGCGGCGAACCAGGTCCGCGCGATTGGCGACCGAGGCGGGTCCGCTCCTCGCATCTTCGTCTTCGGCCTCACCGTGCCCAACGGCCCTGTCGGCGTCGCCATCGTCGAGAAGGTGGAGGACTTCGTGGTGGGCACGCTGTTGCCGCGCTTCTTCGTCATGAGCGGGCTCCGCACGGACACCGCCAAGATCACCAAAGACACCCCGCGGTGGTGCTGCTGATGGTGGCCGCTCTGGCCGTGGCCATCCTCAAAATGGTGGCCGCCGCGTGCGTCGCCGTCGCCATGTTCGAGGGCCAGCCGCGCGCGTGGCGAAGCTTCGCCCGGCCGACCGCCCTGGAGCTGCTGCGGGCAAGCTCGGCCCCGGTCGGCCGCAGCAGAAAGCGCTGCGCTGGGAGCTCCGCCCGACCGCACGCCGCGAGAAGAGAGATCGAGTTTGAGAGAGAGAGGATAGGGATGAGAGGGGTATTATGGACGTTTTGACTGACCTGACCAACTTGTCAGGACTCCTAAACGGTAAAAAACGAACGGAATGCGGATGGAATGGCTTGAAGAGCAAAGAAGTTCAGAACGATGGTACTCGTGGGAGTTCAACTTTTTTAATAGCCTATGCGTAATTACAATTTTTTTTTATGGCACACGTGTAAAAGTCTCGAGATGTTGTGCCCCCGGAAATAAAGTGTTTTTCAGAACGGGTTGGGTGTTGGGCGTGCTGTGCAGCTACGAAAGCGCTGTGCAGAGCATGCAAGGAAACTCCGAAGCCCTCCGGGCCTTTGTGTTCCTGTGCAGCGTGCACCCTGCGTGACCGTGTCTGCGTGGAACATGAGACAGTCATGCCACGCACAAGATTTGTTTAGCGAAGATCTATGACATGGTATTGACTTAGGATGACACCATATCTCTGAGCTACGACTTGCGGTGTGTTACTTATTTATATTTAGATCCACACTAATTTGGATATCTCTAAGCTAGCTTACGTATAACAGATGGCATGTCATTTTGCCTTCACATCCAAAATGAATTTGGTATCTCTAAATTAGTTTACGCGATGGTAGCATGTGGTGTATCATTTTAGTCTTGAATTGTTGTGAACTCTAAAAAAAAATCATTTGAAAACCAACATGCGATGTGGGCTATGATCTTCATAGGAACAGTTTGTGCAAGATATTCACCTTTGCTTTATGCTATACTATGATTACAAACAAATACAAAAAATATAGATTGATGAGTATATAATATTGTGTGCCACCTACTACAACGTTGTGGTAGTATGCTATCTTTTAAATGGCTTACTTATAGTGTTGTGGTTGATAACATTGTTGCACATAATAAAATGTCTACAATTAAGTTGTGCATGTCCATATGTCTATGTCATTATAACCTCCATAAGTTCACAAACAAGTGAAAAAAATAAAGATTGGCCAAAAAGCTATCACAAATGGAGGGACGGGACCACTTGTATGATGGATTTTTTTAAGTACCTATGTATATTTATTATTAGTCCTAATTTTTTAAATACTTTGCAACCAAGCGCTCGGTTTTCAAGGCTTGGTTCAGTCAAATGGTGTTTTTTGGTTAAAAACAAGGTAGCTAGGATAGCAACCAAACATCCCCTAGCTAGGAGTAGGAAAGATAAGAACATAAAGGGGTGTTCATGGGATTGGTACTGTAGGATAATTAAAGCATGGTTTGGTCAGGGGATATTGGGTGGCACAAAGTATAAAGTCACTTATACCAAGAGGGTATGTTGGAAAATAGGAAAAATGATCACCTGGTGGCTGTTTCCTTGTGCACTTCTTCGGATGGGATTTGATTGAACAATGAGAAAGAGTTGTAATGAGGACGTCAATCATTTGCATACACACATCACTTATCAAGAAGGGCCGATTACTAGAGTTCGAGCATAGAAATTTAATTGCTCGGTGAGTTCATTCCTAAGTACTTATTTTTGTAATTATGATAATAGATTTCTATCTAATGATATTATTATTCTAAGGAACTTTGGAGGGATAAATGAAGTACTTGGAGGAGGAGAATAGCAGCATAGGCGACCAATCCAAGTTGAAGGCCCAATCCAATTTCGAGTCTATCTCTGACTCTAGGAGCAGCCTACACTAAAATCATCTCCCTGGTCGCGTACGGACTTCGTTTTCGATGTTCTACATATGCACAGGAAGCTAAGAAGATGATGAAGATATCACTCCTTTAGATACAAATAACACTCAAGTTTCTATGTGAGACATAGTAAAGCTCGAGCACGATAATTAAATCTCTAGGTGAGCTCGTTCCAATATACTCTTTTCCATGATTATGCGAATAGATTGCTACCAAATGATATTATTACTATAATTTGAAAGTATTATATGACCAAGTTTTGCTAGCTAGGATTAGCCAGCCAACCGCAAAGTTATAGCAACATATCCAACAACGCAATCTGTTGGTTACCGGGCACCATCCACAGGGTGCCCTCCTTGGCTATCTTCTCAAAGGAGTCTTGATGTTGTTGCCAAAAAAAAAGGAGTCTTGATGACAGAAGTTCAAAAACAATCGTCCTGTTCGTTTGGGCTTGTTTGGCTTATAAGCCATACTTTTTCAACCAACGAATAATATTTTTTCTCACACCAAATCAGCTAACAGTACTTTCAGCCATGGCTTATCAGCCAAACAAGTCCAAACGAAACAAGGCGAATGCTTCTCAAATGTTGCTTGAACAGTGACAACCGACAACACACAGTGAAAACGATTCACCTTCCATCTGATTCATGTTCTAAGTGGAGTTTATATCTTTTTCTGGAAAGAATTTGAACACACCCCATTATACAATCGTAGCTTTATATGGGAATACAGATGTGGTTGAAACCTTCGCATCAATGAGATTGTGTCTTAAATAGATATAATGGCATCTGACATAGATAATGTTGAATCAGCATTCTGCACGTATCTAGCGGATATTATACACAAAATAAATCCGTGCGGTCTACTGCTCCAAAATAACGGAGTAGACCGGCCTGGAGCGCGAAACAGAGTCACGTCTGCCTCGGCGGTGTCGAAACCACAGCCACACAGGCGGCCGGCGCAGCCATGGCTCGCCCTTCGAAGCTATACCTCGTCTGCTACAACTCCCTCCAAACGCACTGATGGTACGGTATCCACCATCAGCAACCAGAGGCGATCGGCCGGCGGCCGTTGCTTCCATTACTAATGCTTCTTTTTTTCATCTCCTGAATTCAGGTTCATCGCCCTCCTCCGTCTCCTGCCCTGCCTCGCCCCTCCCTTCCCTGTCCACTCCGCGTACGCGGTCGCCGGAGACCTCATCTGTACCCACCCACCCTCGGACCCACCCGCCTCCCCTGTCCCCACCTTTCGTCTCCGTTCTCTCCAGTCTCATCTGAATTCTGAATTGTTTTCCTTTTGTTGTTGTTCCCAAGGTTTCCTGCAGACATGTGCGATCCTTGAAACGGTCCACGCTGCCATCGGTGAGATGAACTGTTGACCTCCTTCGTGATTGATGTTGTGATATGAGAAGAAACTTAGACTGGTGCCGTTTTGGTTCAGGATTGGTGCCGACCGCGCCACTTCTTGCTTTCTTGCAATGGGATGGGAGGACCCATTTCGTCCTGGCTGTTGTCCGGCAAATTCTCGAGGTGTGAGACTTGGATTGGGTTAAAAAGCTATCAGAGGGATTCCTCTTGCGCACATATATAAAAGATTCTGAATTTGCTAGGGTTTCTGTAACTTTGTTGTGTTTCACCCCTTGGAGAGTTCAATCCTTGCTGATAAGTTTCAGTTAACGTTTGGCAACTGCAGGTTCAGAGGAGTGCATCTGTGTACATAACATTTATAGCTTGGAGCATATCTGAGGTGTGACCGAAAGACCTTTCATTTCATTTTCTTTCTGTATTGTATCTTATTCTCGCCAACAATTGCAAATAGTGTTTAAAGTTTAAACTATATGGTTTGATATCAATTACTCCTTACCTAGCAGTACACAGTATAATCTGTCTCATCATCTTAAGAAAAAGGTAAATAATTTGTCTATCTTAGTGATGGGCCTTGCTATGGTACAACTATTACCGCTTAGGAGGTAAGAGTTTGAACAAATCACAAGCCTTCATTTTTAGAATAGAAAAATAATTATACAATAAAATAATCAAGAAACAAAATGCCGGCTAGCCATCTTTGGTAATCCCTGCAAGTGTTGCCCTTCTTTCCTTATCTAGCGCTGATGCTCTCCTTTTTTACATCCTGCGAATCATCTTCTGATCTGTGACCCGCGTAGCAAGCAAGAAATGTGACACGTGACAGTATGTATGTACATTTGAAAAGCTTACACTTAATAAAAATAAAATATTGTCAGCCACTTATTAATCTTATTATCACTACTACGATCCAACTTGGGATGACAGCTACTGTACCAGATATACTAGGGAAATTATAAGAAAAACAGCAACATGCGGCTCAAAACAAAAAAGAAAGAAAAATAATAAATGCAACATTCAAGATATGTTCATGTTTAAGAGCAATTAAATAAGTTGTCAAACGTTAGTTTTTTATATTAAAAATATTACAAAGAAAATGAACACGTGAGAAGAAAGATATTTTAGATTTATATCCACATGTCACATTACATCAAATAGGAAAGTAAGATCATGTATATCTGCTAGATCTAATAATAAGATGTTTTCCTTATTTTTTCTATTTTTCTACCATTACCTCCTAGGAAGTAATATGTCTTAATTAACATCTAGATCAACGGTCCACAGTTATTAGGGGGTACCATAGCAACTGTTTCAGCAATATCAGAGTAGATAGTCTGTTGGAAAAGAATTGAGTTGATCAGAGTTCAGACAATAACACTGTTCTTAAATGTCAATGCATCGGCATGCCGATATTCAGATGAAAAGAGTACTAACATCCATTGATACACATTGAAGAAAAATCATGATTAGAGTAGTATTAACGTCTAAGCACTGATGGTGTGCTGGTGGGAATAGTGGGAAAAATGAGATGATGCAGTAATTAAAATCTATTACCATATATTGAGAAGAGACTCTTGACTATCTTGTTTCCTAATAAACTCTTGGAAATCAGCCATCTTTCAATTTATGATCTATCATGTGTCTGGTAATATAAGAATGTTAAGTCCTTAAGTATCTATTAGTACTTAAATCTATCTATCCAATTTTAGGCATCCCTTTTGTTTCTTAGTTCTCCTCAAGATAT